TTTGAAAGATATATTCTCTCAAGTATGGCATAAATATTTAAAAAAATAATCATTTTCTCTCGCTTTTAGTATTACATTTTCATCTATCCATCTATTAAAGATAAACTTTTTCGAGAAATTCGATTTTGTCTTATAGTAAAATTCAATTTATTGGACAAATACTTGCAAGAGTAATACTGGAAATACGGATAAAGTAAGGAAATAAAATGTAAAATCCCAAATATAAATGTGAAAAAAATAATAAGAATGAATAATGAAAAGTAAATATAATTGAATATACAACAATCAAATTAATAACAAAAATTATTAACAAAAAATAATTAATTAACTTAATTAATTAACAAAAAAAAATGTATACAAAAAGGTCAAAAAAATTATCTCATCCCTTTTTCCGCCTCTCAATTTCAACTTCCCTAATAAGAGACGTCAAGTACAGATTACGCTTCTGACAGTGACAATAAGACACCGATTACGTACTCTGCTGTCAGGATTCGCGTTGTTAAGTCACTTAACGCCGAACTTCCGTCGATTCCTTTGTGCCGAAATCGACATTTGCACGAGTCCACGGAGGAACTTTGGGTCAGTGTATTATGGGATATCTATTAACTTCGATGATCGCCTCGGGCGCACGGGCTTTCCGCGAGCGCGACGCTTAAGATGAGTTATTGCCATGGCTCTTTATTAAAGGCTAATACGAGAGCAGCGGTCCAGACCCGGCTCTGACTCCGGGAATCCCTTAATCTGCGCGATCTATTATCCCACGTTGGAAGTACATCGGGGTGAGAATTAGCCCTCTCCCGTTGCCCTCGTACAAACGCGGCCGTAGTTGAATTATTACCCGGACATATCTCGAAGCCCTCCCTCCCCGGAATAGTAGGCCACCGCCGCCACTAGCTGCCGTAAGACTGGGGCATCCGAATATCTCGCTGATAATGAGATTCCGCGGCAAAATTACTCGGCGTGTAACGGCGAGATCGGCGCCGCCGTCGGAGATTCGCGAATAGGCGGGCAGACGGCGATTCTCTCCGTGATTTCATGAGGAGACCGTTAGAACCGGGAAGAAGAAAAAAAAGAGGGAACAAGG